TAAAATACATAAAACATTTGGAAAAACAGAGAAGTTAAGTCCACAATATGTAGGGCCTTATGAAATTAGTGAAAATTTTGAAAATGTAGCTTACAAACTGATGTTACTAGAACATATATAGGAAGCGCAAAATGTTTTTCATATTTCTATACTTGAAAAAGGTGTAGCTAATGAATTCAATAAAGTTGTCACATATTCAATTGATATACAACATAATTTGACATAAATAGTTGAACCTGAGAGAATATTGGACTATGATGTAAAACAACTTCACAAAGGAGACATTCCATTTGTTCAAATTCTATGGAAGCATGTGTTGGAAAGAAATGTATATGAAAGAAGGAATCAGAAATAAGAGAATGTTCTCCATATCTATATATGCAACTAAGATATGATTGTTATTATAGTTTTTTTTTAATTTTTTTTCGAGGATGAAATTTTTATAAGAAAGGGAGATTGTAACAACTGGTTTTAAAACATAAATATTCAATTGATTTTATTGATTCAATAGAATCGATGAGTTAGTTTTGCCCAAAATAGAGACATGAGGAGGCGCTAATATTTTGCTTATTAAAAGGAGATAGAGAGGGGCGTGAATGCAAGCGAAGTGAAGTGAGCGATCCAAAGGGTATAAGACAAAGAAATGGAGGAGTCGTGCAAGTGGATACAGGCGTGGATGAGCTATCAAGAGCAAGCTATAGAGAGAAAGGAGAGTGGGAGTGAGATTGATTGAGAGAGATGGAAAGCTGTAGAGATGAGAAAATAACAAAAAGAAGATGGAGAGGTTATATGAGATATGAAGAGGGAAACAAAGTCGTCTTTGACGAGGACAGTGTGAAGACCCGGTTTAGGCTGGGCCTGTTCAACCGAAACGGCCAGCCTTCTATTAATAGTCGCGACCCCAACAGGGAGTCGGTATTGTTGTTCGCAAAACAGAGAGGGTGGACGGCGGCTTCGTGCGGGAGAGCGAGGTAAGATTCATTTTTTCAATTTTAGCAAATGATTGTCTTGAAGGATAAGAAATAACTATTCCTTTTCATTCTTATCGTAAACGAAGTATTAGTTTGGGAGAAATTTCAAAGAATGAGAGAAACGACCGAGGAGAAAGAAGGAAGATGTCGGATTTTCTTTCAAATTTTCGTATAAATTTCCTTCTTTTACTTCATCTAAAGCAAGCGGTATTTTTTCTTAAAGGAAAAGAGGGGAGTGAAAGCAAGGAGAAAGAATTTTGGAAGAGGAAGAAGGATTTTAGGGGATTTGGAAAATCCCCATTATAAGTAATTTTTATAATGAAATTATTCTTAAGTTTTATTAGATAAAGCAAGTTTCATGAAAATTTTATTGTTTAATGTTAGAGATTTTGGAGAGAGAGAGAGAGAGAGAGAGAGAGAGAGAGATTGAAAGTTGCAGAAATTCGATTCAACAAGAAAATTCGAAGTTGAGGTTGCTCCAAAGATCGAGGATTTGAAAGGATTAAAGTAGGTAATTATACTCGTGAAATTTTTTACTATTTATCTTCGTTTCAAATCTGAAATTTATAGCTCATACAATTGTTATTATTTTATACATATTATTTCTTTTGAAGACTATTATAGATGAGATAATGAGAATACTATGAGAATTCTAATACATGAATTGATATAGAAATTGTATAACTGTTAAATGAATAGACATACATCAGGAGTTGATTATATTGTATTTTATATATTAATTGATAATGATTACTCACTGAGTTTATACTGTAAACTCAAACCACTAAATTAATGTTTCAGGTAAATCCCCAAAGAAGAAGAAATGACTGAAAGGGAAGAATTCATATATAGAAGACGACAAATGACAACAGATAAAATGACTGATCGATGAAAATGCTTAGTTTGGTTCTAGATTGTTTAAAGTTTTCTTTGTGTTTAGTGGCTCTTCAATTGATTAAAAGTTTATGTTAATGTGTTTTATTTGAAATGTGATGAATTTGTAATACTGTCCGACTTTCAGTTCTCGCCTCATTGAATCGAGTATAGGGCTGGGTCGTGACAGACAGGGAGATTGTGATCAATCTCATGAGATGATTAGGTTGAAGAGATCACGCGAGTGTTGATAAAAATATTTGAAATCAAGCCGAATTAGGTTTGGATGACGATTTTGATGATAATTTCACATAGAATTAAAGTACATTATTATGAATGTATTAATTTTTCCTTTCTTTAGATATGAAATCAGAACATTTTCAATTTATAATTATCATTATTTTATATTTAGAAGCCCTAGATAGATGTTCTAATCACAAATAAATTTTGGAGTATATGAAAAAGGATAGATTCAGAGGAGGAGATTGGCGATGGTGCAAAAGAAGTAGGATATTTAAAGTATGAATAAATTAGAAAATTGATGAAATTGGAAAAGTTAAGACATTGTTTTATTATTCCTTAAATTTAATTAAAAAAAGTTTCAGAGATTTATGGTGGAATGGAAAAATAGATCAAGAAGAGGGGCATTTGGGTGTTTTGCGAAAGTAGGAAGGAGGATAAAATATTTAAATAATACAGAAATTAGAAAAGTTCTTTGATGAAATAAAAAAAAAATCAAAATGTCATTATATGCTATATAGTGCTTTCTATATGTTAGCACTTAATTATTATCAATTGTTTTAGGTTGCTTGGTATGAAGGAGCATGAAGTGAGAGAAGAAAGAAGTGGTTCCATGACTCGTGAATAATTGGGGTAGGTATTTAAATTAGAAATTCTATTATTTGAATTAATAAATGTAATTAGTATAATATAATATCATTTTGAAACATGATATATAAGTTATTATTTACATAAGGTAAATGAAATATTATATATATGATTATAGGTAAAGGAAGCTCGGTATGATCTTTTAGTCGTACACTTGACAATATTAATATTGTTAATTTTTATTGGAGAAATGATCAAATGATTTCTTTCTTTTACTTAAATAAAGGCCTTCATATTATCATAAACATTAAATTTAAAAAGCATTTTTTTGAAAATCCATGTATGCATAAATTTTGATTTATATATAAGATAAGATGAATGAAAGAAATATAATGAAAAGCAATGTATGTGGATGTTGAATGATTGAGTTCATCCCCTTATGTCATTTGTTATGGATGCAATGCACGCTCATGCATAAAATAAAAAAGAAAATGAAAATGATTATGCTTTAAACAATACAAATTTTTAGATATCACTCTTGAGACTAGTGTTTTATTAAAAAGATATAATATGATAAATTTCTTATTAAATATCACGTTTTACAAAATAGTATTCTCTTTACTTTATTTTACAATAGCAATAACAACAACAATAATATTAAGCTTTTATCCTACTATATGGGATCTACTATATGTTCTCCATTGTGTTCTATTAAGAGTCAAATTCTCATTTAAATTTAATAAACAAATGTCATTTTTAATATTTCCTAAACAAGTTTTTTTTTAGATCTATTTCTACTTTTCTTAACATAGGTTGGATCTAATACATCTACTCTCATAACTGGGTCATCAGAAGGCAAATGCTTTATGTGACCTAACCATCTAGGGCTACTTTATCTAATCTTATATGCCACTAGTACTACAACCTTTTCATCTTTATAATTGTTTCACAGCGTCAAGTGTAAAGTCACTTATCCACTTAAGCATCCTCATCTATGCAACAGTTGACTTAATTTTATGCTTCTCTTTTAATGTACAACATTTTGCTCCACAAAGTATTGTAGGTCTAACCACCAGCGTATATTATTTTGCTTTAGTCATGGATATAAGCATCGCAAGTGATTATTTAAGATGACATGCATGCATTTTCTTTCTATTTTCAAAATTATTATAACATAGAATTGTAATTAGCCATCGCTATTGTGTGACTCAACTTGTTATAAAATTTTGTTTTTTTCAAAAATGGCTCATCTAAATTAAATGGGTGATAGAGAATGATTTGTGTACAGAAGAATAGTGAGTGAGAATATATATTAATGAACATATGCATTTAGTTTTAGTAAGTTTGTTTGAAATATATGAAATAGAAATGATTGTGTATGGTTTGTATATGAACAAAACTTCGTTGTTTAGTAGCTTTTTATATTTTGGAAGATGTTACTATTGGACTATTTATAATGTTTGTTGGAAGAATTAACTACTGTCTAATTGATTATTTCTTATTTGAAAGCTGGGGCACGGATATTATCAATCTAATTGATCCTCCATCTTCCAGAGGTCGCAGGTTTATATTAGCGGAAGCTAATTACTTCTCAAACTGAGTCGATTATTGGCAACATGTTAGGGATCAAGCAAAGTGGGCTAAGCATTTGAGTTAGTTGTGCACCGATAGTCTACAAAATGCTTGCTTTGATACCAAGATTGTTAGGGCTGTTGGGAGAACATCAAAGAAGAGGAGATAGATAAACAAAATAGAAGATTATGGAGTAAGAAAAGCGAAACAAGAAAGCAGGAGGATGAAAGAGAGAACTGATCATTCAATCAATGTTTGCCTTTAGTATATTGTTAGAACCTCCTATATATGCTAAGGGTTCCCAATACCTACCTAAATTGCTTGGATAATAACTCAAGGATTTTATCCTTCATTATATACCTAAATAAAACACATTATAAGAGGCATATGCTTAAATTAAGGCTTGGTTTGGGACGGCTTTCTTCCTGTTTTCTGAAGCAGCATTCTAGTTAAAAAATTTTTGTACTAAAAAACTGCTTTAAAAAACAGTCAAAAAATCGTCCCAAACGAAGCCTAAATATAGAGTAAATATTGTCTAGCATCAGACTAATCAGATAAACTCAACAACTTATGTTTATCTTATGCTGACCGCATACAACATCTCATGAAATTGTGCTACATGATTGTTGAGCAAAAATGCACAATTTTTGGATGATTAATTTTCATATCCATAGCAAAGATCAAGCTAATTTATTAATAGAAACTAATTCCAATTTATTTGCTGAGCTAATTTAATGCAAGTACTTGCAAAAGATATGGATAGCTGCAACAGTGAATTTTTAGTAGCCAATAACATTTTAAGATAAATTCATCCAATAATGTGAAAAAAAATATTGCCAATAGCATTTAAACCAGTAGGTAAATACTAGAAAAAAAATATTAAGCTAGGTAGCATAGCACGCAAGTTGCTAAGTAAATATATAAAACCATACGATGGAACCTGGTATTGACTTCTCACAATGACCCTAATGTTGATAAAAATTTCAGTGAACACATCAGTTGCATAGCTGCTAATCATCTATTTGCATTAGCTGTTCACTGTCCATGTAATATATGCAGCATTAAGAATGTTGGTTCTGAAGTAGATTTTGGGCTTTCACTCTCCTTTGAATTTAATCTTGAATAAACTAATTTCCACATAATTACTGTCGTTCTCCTGTTCTTAGCTTGAAGCAGTTTGATTCAACAAATTTTTTATTTTCCTATTTGGTGACCTCTGCATAATATCCAAAAAAAATATATATACTTACCTGCTGAAATCCGCTGTCCATCCAGATTTCTTGTCGAAAATCCCACTCTAAGTCCTGCAGTCTGCAAACGGCGCCGAACTGGCTCATCTCCAGCATGCGCGATATCACCTCGATGTCCTCCTATGCTCATTGTTAAAGACTAATCAATCGAAGCATTCGACTTTTTCATCTCTTCCACAGCGGAAACTCTTCTTCTTCCACTCCGATCACAAACACCATCCCGCTCACTGAGCTCCTCAGTCCCAAAATCTTGCATTCAATCCCCATTTGCTCACTTCAGCTAGATCCACCCCAACAGAATCAGTCGGAGCCTCCGACCGCCCGTCTCTCCATAGCTACAGGAAATCTCCCCTGCATGTGAAGCTTTCGACTTTTCCTCTCAACCCGAATTCCCTTCCGCACACAAAGCCTCTACCCGTGACTTCCAATTTACCCCATTGTGCCGACCTCAAGCTGCAACACCCTCTCTGCAACTTCCGACCTTCTCTGCTCTAAACCGAAGCCAGCCCTAGACCCAGCTGCGACTGATCTTCCCATAACCAGCCTCAACTCCGACTCTTCACCTTGTCGACTCGATCCACGACCCGATCCATCAAATCCGAGCCTTCTGCATAGCTCCAGCCTCAATCGATCGGACCCTTCAGCCACAAATCAACAGCTACAACCGATCCCTATAGCCACAAATCGCAGCGCCCATATCTCAATCCCATCATCTTCCATAGATGAACCCGAAATGCATCTTCCTCCTTACAATTTACAACTCAAACCATTCGATTCTCCTCCTACCTAATAACCTGTAGCCCAAACTTCCCTACACCCCATTCCCTCTACTTAAAGCCCACTACACAAATCATCCCACTCCATCAACTCAGCCCAAAGCAACCCCACCTCACTCAAATCCTCCTAACCCAACAGCCTAAAGCCCAAGGAGTCTTCATCTCACACCCAAAAACTCCTAAAGACCAACCCAAGGCAGCCCAGACTCACCCACACTACAATTAATCTCCAAACAGCATACACTCAAGTCGCTAACAGCAAGGGTAATATCTCTACCTCTCTATCTTAATATTATTAATAGTATAGTTAATATTATTATTAATTAGAATTATTTGTATTATTATTATTGAGTTAGAAAAAAAGAGAAAAGAAGAAAAAAAAGGAGAAAATGTTATTTGCATTATCACCATCTGTCGTCGCCTTGTCATCGTCGCTTCGTGAAGGTATAATTCTCTTTAAACTCAAACCCCATTTTCGACGTTTGCGGCGAGCCGGAGGATCCCATATACGTGCTATTGTAGCACGGTAGAAGAAAGCCTGGTGTGACACTTATGGCGAGGCGGGTAGGCCCCGTACTTGCTCTCGTAGCGTGACAGGGATACTTCTACGTACCCGTATGCGCCTCAATGCCGGCGGGGAAAGAAAATTGCACATTTTTCAAACAGGTACCTTGAAGACCCTTAAGTACTCTCATAACATAGCAGGGATTGAAGAAATATGGTCACGGTGTCGCCCGACACCTATATGAAGCGCTCTCGTACCGTGGAGGGGAAGGCCCGACTACCGGAATTTCCCCTAAACAGGGGAGACGTCAGAAAGCTGCCAAAAATTCCATTGAACATAGGACCTAAATTTGAATTGTACATAAAAGATTTAAACTCAAACGAACAACAGGGAACTGGACTTTAAATTATTAAATGAATGGCCACTCTAAATTGCAAATGCTAAATGATAATATGGACCTTTCAAATGCATGATAAAATTAGAAATACAAGATGCCAATCAATGATCTAATGTATTCAAATGAAAATTAATTGACGAACATGAAACTTGTGTTGGGCAGAGAATCTCAAATACAACTAATTACCTCTTATTCATGGAAGCCAAGAATGCAAATCCCATTTAGCAACAATGCTAATCCTATTACTCACATCATAAACCAACTGACAACAATCAATCTAATAGGGGGAAATACACAACCTAAGTGCAGGCAATCCATTTCAACTATTGATGCCATGCTTATGAATAAAGTGTAAAAGATGTGCAAAGGAATGCAACAACATCTTTGCTGCTCACAACCATGCGACATCAAGCAAATGGAAGCTGCAACTCTCCCTACAAACATGCGCAATACAACAAACAATGAAAGTAAACATCTACAATTAATAATGACTGATATACAACGAATGTGATTGTTCATTAGCTAATATGCATGAGGATATTGGTGATGAATGTAGCCCAACCAACAACAACCAACTTGCAAATAAATACAATAGTTCTCTAAATTGTTTAAAATTGCGCAATGTGAGGCTCGCCTTGAGCGCAATTCCAGTAAAAAACGCCTTGAGACTTATGCCTTGAGCTTTTTCTATGAGGCCCGCCTTGAGGAGCGCCTCGCCTCACTAGCATGAGGCGTACGCCTCACTCTATTTATATCTTTTTTTATTTAAAACTCACATAAATCCTATACAAAAGCAAAAAAATAAAAATAAAAATCATGCCTTCTTGCACCCCCAAGCCGCAACAACTTCCTCTCAATTTCCTCGACCTCTAGCCCACCGCCTTCACCATGGCCTCCACTGTTGTAGATACCGCAGGGATAACTAGAAAGCCGCATGCCACCACCATCTCTTAAAATTTAGGAGGATTATCTTTATATTGATGACAAATATTTATGAAAGATGAAGATAATTGAAATAAATGAAGAAAAAAAATAAATTGAGAGGTATTGGACCCTACAGGATGAGGCAGGGAAGAGATTAATTTGTTATGACAGTGACTTAAATAAAAATCCCCTTAGGAATGATAGTACAAATGATTTCTGAGTTATTGTTAATTATTTCAGCTTTCTTTAGGAATTAAACATATATGAGTAAGCAATTGAAAAAGAAAAAAATTAAAGTTGAACTTGATGTTATATGATACTTTTTATGCAATTCACATATTTTATGTTGTTTTGTTCTTGTAATAGTTGCATTTCAATTCTATTTTATATAATTTATCACTTAACACTTTACATCTTATACAATTTTTTATTTCATATGTATGCAAATTTATTACTTCATAGTTCAATAGAAAGTTAATAGGTCATTCTTTAATATATTATTTGGATATTAAATAAAAAATCACTTTTAACTTTTATTTTGATTTTACGCAATTTTTAAATTTTGAGGCTTACGCCTTAAAACGTCTTGAGGCTTACGCCTCGCCTCATAAACTTAAAACGCCTCAATACCCAAATGCGCAATTTTAAACCTTGGTTCTCCACGAACATCGAAAGACTGGATACAATAAGAACGAAGGGTATTTGATGAATGCAATAATGCCTTAAGAGCAATATCAAAATATAAGCAAAAGTGCTCGACCCTACAAGCAACAAAATTGAAAAGGATATCCACGGATGAAGCGTGAAGGGTATGCAACAAGTTGCAATGTACACTACATATTGCATACAAGCAAATATAACTTACTTTCAAAGCGTACAAACCCCTACAAATTATTGTAGAGGACTCCTTATTCATACAGTGGTCTACCTGCAATAATGAAGCTTATTACAAGTGCACATAATGATGCGTATGATGATTGCGAGCATCCACAAGTCGATGTAGGAGAGCCCTCATTTGTACAGCAGTCCACTCACATGTGACGATGAATAATATACAGCAGATGCCAGGGTGCTTCTGCATTTAACAACAGTTTAGTGCCAACTGCCAAGCAAACGAATTAATATTCCTACAAATAATGTTAGCTGGCTCACAAACACACAAAAGTCCATTCACAAGCAATTAGAGGAAACTTGTGAATGTTTTTGAATGTCAATGAAATATATATAAGTGAGTGCAATAACTTGCGAACCTACGAACTACTCAAGAGACATGTAGAGAATTCCACAACATCCCTCCAGTCAGTATTGGTTAGCTTGCAATCAACAGGAGTTAGCTGATAGGGTAAATGGATGTATTCATTAATGAGCAATGACAACATACAAATTATGAATGCAGTAGTTTACCTACACTCAACGACTACCAACAAACAAATGAATACAATGGTCTACTTGCAAGTAGTGAAGGTAACAATGCTCTGCAATCGACATCAAAATACAATTAAAGGCATTCAACTCCGCAGGCAATGAAAATTAAGAGGGAATATACAATTTGATTGTAGACAAATATGCAAGAGTCTTCAGCGGATGCAACAACTTGTCAACGAAAGCGCATGACATGATTATGACGTATGCAATGCATCATCTACAATCTAAAGTAGTAAGTTTTGATGAACATGGCTTGCGTACAAATCAAGATAGCAAACACGTGGTGAATGCAGCTTGCCTACAAACAAAGAGTATGTATTTGTTAAAGTTCACAATAGATGCACCTACAAGCAGCGACGGTTGGTATCTATTAGTAGTTTGCTTATAAATGACAATCATCAATTAAAAATCAAGTGCACTAGTTATCTTATGAACAATGAAAGCAGACAGGCTATGAATCTGAAAATCTCCCTATGGTCTATGTCAGTTGGCATAGCTGGAGGCATGGTTTAAAATTGCGCAATATGAGGCTCGCCTTGAGTCCCTCCTTTTCATAATTCCAGTAAAAAAATGACTCGATGCTTACGCCTCGAGTTTTTTTATGAGGCTTGCGCCTCATCTTGGCTGAGGCCCGCCTTGTGGCCTGCCTAGCCTCACTGGCATGAGGCTTACGCCTCAAGCTATATATATTAAAACTTCCATAAATCTTAAAGTAAATGCTCGACATTCGACTCTATAGGAGAGGAGGAAGAGGAGAGAGATAATGATGATTCAAATGAAGAACCCCTTAGTGATGGCAGTGTTGATAATTTATGAGTTCTTATGTGATATGCCATTGCTATTTATTTTTTGAAATTGGAATTACATGTTAATGAAAAGATTTGGAAAAGATAGAATTTTGAGTTGAACTATATTTCATGTTGTTTTATTATTGGGATATTTTGATTTCACTTCATAACTTATGCTTTTTAATTTTTTATATTATTCACTCATTAGTATATAAAAATTTGTCTTATGTTTACACAATCTTTTGATTTTGAGGCGCCTCGCCTCACGAATGAAAAATGCCTCAATACCCGAATACGTAATTTTAAACATTGGCTGGAGGTTTGTTAGTGCATGACAACATACCTATACAAAGTAGCAAGCAATTCACACCTATGACGCCATACCACCGGATCTGCAACACTAGTACAAGTAGACAGAAGGCACCGACAAGTTACTAAATAATGCCACCGGGTCCACAATACTCACGCAAGTGGATAAAAGGCGTCTACAAGTTCTCAAATAAAGCATCACACACATTCAAATGACAGTTGCCCATACAGTTGATCAACGTTAAATATTCGAAAATGCCCTCCTACACATACATCACAACATGTATACACATAAATATGAAAGAGTACACGCAAGCATATTAACTTATATACATGCAAGAATATATTCCTGCATAGGCCCCGATAAGCGTGTTATGTGTACACACGTGAGTACGTGACTCTTGAGGATGTTGCGTGGGTCAAATAATAAATCTAAGTTAGAGTTTGATACTTCTATGCGAGTAGATATGAGTCAACACGCCTTGAACTATCAAACAAATATACGGTCACTACGTCGACCGATATATTTGTTTTAATACGTTCATATTAGGCCTTCAAGGCCTATAAATAAAAAAAAATCCACTAATAAAGGCACAAAGCCGGTAACATACTCGATCATCTATCGGTAATTAGACAAAGTCTACAAGGTTTAACAGATAATGATAAAAAATGCCCCATAAA